GCCCTTCCATTCTGGGGTATGTGTTGTGCGACTCAATTTGACCGCATTTTCAAGCTCCAGAAGAGAGCTGTTCGATATCCACTGGGACTAAACAGCAGAACTCATTGCCGGGACTTTTTTAAAGAATTAAAAATATTGACTCTTCCTTCCTTATTTATATTTGAATCCGTTTGCCTAATACGTAAACATGTATCAGCTTCTCAAGAAAGGCCATCTCACACTTATCCACTCAGGAACGCGAAGCAAGATCTTTATCTACCTACCCCACGCTCAGAGTTAGTTAAAAGTTCAATATTATACAACTCGAAAAAAATGGACAATCACCTGCCATTTGAAATCAAATCCATAACATAATTTTTTTCATTTCGCAAAGCATTGAACTCTTATTTACTAGACAAGGCTTTCTACGCCGTAAATGAATTATATTTTGAAAATAGAATTTGATCTTGTAAACACTGGTCTAATGTGTGCTATTGCTATATTTACTAATGACCTCGAAATGAATTTATTTAGAGATCATTGATATTTTACTATAAACTAGCTAAATATTTTTGAATATTATTTTTATTTTTTTGTTCTTTGACATTGTAAACATTTATAAATGTTTATTTTAACAATAAGACTGACAATATTATTTGTATAATGTTTTGTATTATCTTTTGTTTGTTTGTTTGTGTACCTTGTTTTTTTACTTTGTTTGTTAGTTTAGAAAGCCATTATTATATATTTATAATTATTATTTTTTTTATTTTTTTTTATTATTTATTTTTTTAGCCATTTGTCTACAAATTTAAAAATTTTTTTGACAATAAAGGCATTTATTTATTTATTTATTTTATTTATTTACTTGTTATTACCACTTATGGCGTTGTAAGATGTACATCAATAAATAAATAAATAACCCATAATAACGCTTAGACTAATCTTCATAATGGACTAGTTTTGCCAATAGGTAATAAGTAAAATTAGCTATAAAGCGAATAAATCAATTCATTACTAAAATATTAGTTATTAAATTAAAAATAAGACGTAAAAATCTTTAAAAAATGATATAATAAATATACTGTTTGTCACGTTTAAATTAAGATTCATCTCATAAATCTATCACAATCTGGCAGCGCTGTCGCCATCGCTTGTCACTCAAAATTGATCACGTGCATCGGAATTTGTTTTGCGATTGCCATACCTAATTTTATAGACGATTGTTTGTCGTCTAGGCACACTCAGTGATGAGGCGTTCTGATGTTCACCCATTTTCACCACAGAATCTGCATTCGAAGTTGTTTCCTAGCTTCAATCTACTGATCTGTTCACTGAGGAGACCGTTAATTTAAGGAAATTTACAAAATCAATCGTCATTTTTCTTAAAGGCGGGCGGCCACTGCGAGCGAAACTAAACTAAGGAACTATAACATTTTTATGCAATGCAATTCATCTTTAGACGCGTTTTTCTCGGAAGTAATAAAAAGTAAGTTAGTGACTTTTGGCAGCAATGGGACGAAATGTAAGTTTCATAAATGTACAAGGACTTTCAAATATGAATTTTGCTCATTTCCGAAGATTTTCTAAATATATTTTTTTGATAAAATCACATAAAACAATTTACATCCAACATAAACAATTCCTAATACAATATACCGTATGATCGAAAAAAAATGGCGTCCAGTTGGCTGGGAAATGACGATCGATGACATTTCCCATATAAATTTACATATAAAATGACAGCGATCTTCATTTCATAGCCATCGTTGACGCCGTTTTTTCTCGATCATACGGTACTGTCTTTACTATTTTGTAATAATAGTTAACAATAAAAATATGTCAATTTTAGAGATAACAAACTTGTTACAATGACTTAGAGAAAAGAACTACTTAGTATTGCATTTTTTGTTTAGCATAGAGTATGGGATGGTATAGAGGTATTTTGAATGCGTTTAGTTTCTAAAATCAAGGAATTTGAAAATCATTTTATCATCTAAGTGTATCTTTTCTCCATAGCATATTTTTTGGTTCATCTCAATAGGTTTATTTTTTTGGAGATACATATTTGCTTCTGAAGAAGCCACTAACATTTTTTCATAATTTTAGATTAAAACCATCCATTTCTTTTGTTCCCAGTTAACAGACCTATAACATAGTGTTTATATTGATAAAACAAAAATCATCATTGGCTGTTGGGCAGTTACTCTAGCAGAAATGGTTTTAAGTCCAGAAATTGTGTCCGCTGTAGTTGTTTTCATTGAAGATGATTCAGAGAGTCGCTTTAGACAAGTTTATATTCTAGACATTCAGAAACCTTCGTCGATTACTTCGAATCGAGACGATCGCCATTTGCTAGCTTTTCAAATTTATGAATTGCACTTAAGGAACGAATATGTAAGTAAACGGACTTTAAAAAGAAGATTAAACGAAGCAAATCTTATGTCAAGATGGCCTGCTTCGGGATCAGCACTTACTAGATCTGTTGATTAGGATCAAAAGCGAAGGCATGGTTTTAATGTCAAAATACGAAAAAATGTTAGTGTCTTCTTCAAAAGCGAATATCTCCAACAAAACTTACGCAATTGAGATAAACTAAAAAATAAACTAGCAAAAAAGGATGTACCAAGTTGAAAAATTTTTAAATTCCTTGCTGTCTTAACATATTCCACAGGGTGTTTCAAACTTAACCAAAATATCAAAATTTTATTTTCTCTCGTATAATTGACAGATGGAAGCTTTCTTTTTTAATTTAGAAAGGGATAATAAAAAGTCAAATAATTTAGCTACATACTGATTAAGAAATCATCAAAATCGGCCCACTAGAACAAAATATATTAAACTTTAAAATACACCAAAATTGTAAGTTGCCCGTTTTTGGTGCCGGTGAGTGTGTAAAGGGAATGTCTTCGATCGTCATTCCCTAGCCAACTTGACGCTGTTTTTATAAATTGCTAACACGATACTGATAACATATTTTCACAAAAATGTAACTGTAAACAATTTCAAACGCATTCGTATCTTATACGCTAAAAGCATCAAAATATTTCAAATAAGTACTTAAAAAAATCAAATTTCTTCTTCGGTTTGCTCACTTACGTTCACCAGCTGCGACATCTCCAACACTATTCGCATATTAATCGTGCGCCCGTCATTAAAATTCAACACTCAACCTCTTCGTCGCTTGTTTCAACATTTTAACACAGCCCCACTATGACTAACGATCGTGTTTGTGCCGTTGTGGCGTCGCATGCAAGAGGAAAATGAAAAATTGACGTTTCTGCCCGCGCACGTACCTTATTATAATACAGTCGAAGGGTTAAAGTACTCGAAACAAGGGCAATATAGGATAGAAACAACCCAAAAACCCAATTTTATAGAGGAGGGCTAATTTCCTTTAATTTAAAACTCATAACGTCCGCAGCATAGGAAACGCTTTTTTTGTTAATTTCACTACAGTGATTTAATGTTTGGAAAATCTATACAGGGTGAGTCTATTTTTTTTTAATCGGTTTAAAACCCCACGTCTTTTGATACTATCTATCTCTATCTGTAATAGATTCTTGTTGTGCAAAAGGATTGGTGGTAATAGGAAATCGGTATATTGGTGGAACAATGCAATTGCCGAACTGAGAAGAAACTGCATTCGTTTGAGACGATTAATTAAGAGGCAGAATAAAAGACTGGGGACTCATGTGGCCGTCACTAACTTGGGTGAAGAGCATAAAGGGGCAAAAAAGAAACTCAAGGAGGAGATTGCAAGATCCAAAAAGAAAAAATGGGAAGAACTGTGCGACGAACTGAACGCGGATGTGTGGGGAATACAGAATAGTCACCAGGAAGTTTATGAATAGGGCTAGAGTTCCAATCCCGGCAGATGAAGTCAGAGAACAAATAAGGGCTCTTTTTCCAACGAGACCATACATTGAATGGGGTAACTTGAATATATCTACTGAGGAGGTGCCGGTTTTTACTACGGCGAAAATTTTATGCGCCGCGCGTAACATAAAGAATGGCAACGCGGTAGGTTTGGACGGAATACCTGTAGAGGTGTTGAAAGCAGCAGCTCTGAAGGATCCGGAGTCCATTACTAGCGTTATGAATTGGTGCTTAGTCCGAGGCCAATTTCCGAGATTGTGGAAGGTTGGAAAGCTGGTTTTGATCGAAAAGCCCAAAATGGAGAGTTCATCTGCGATAAGTTACAGACCAATATGCCTACTTAATGCCAGCGGGAAACTCTTTGAGTCCTTAATAAAAGCTAGACTGGAGACTGAACTGGAGGAAACAATAGACTGTTCGATAGGCAATTTGGATTCAGAAAGAGCAAATCCACAATAAACGCTCTTAACATAATTGTGGACAAGGTCGACCTGATAAGGCAACGCAGCTGGAAGAGTAGGGGATACACCCTTCTAACGTTGGATGTGAAAAACGCATTTAACTCTGCTCCCTGGCGGGGTATTATAGACCAATTGAAGTTAATGGGGATCAGCAGGTACCTAATTAGGGTAATCCAGTCCTACTTATCATGCAGGAAAATAGAGGCGGAGGACGGCTAAACCTATAAAATGAGTTGCGGGATTCCTCAGGGATCAGTACTTGGCCCGACGCTGTGGAACGTCTTCTATGACCAGGTGCTGAGGTTGGACATAGAAACTGGGTGCGAGATTCTTGCTTATGCAGATGACCTGGCAGTCCTGATCACAGCCTCAATGCCAAATATGTCGAAAATAAGAGTGGCGACTGCGGCGCTGATATTCGGCAACAGGCTGGATAGCATGTGTATCAGCTTAGCAAAACAGAACACGGAGTTGCTTGCTTTGGTGGGACATGACAGCGGAAATTAGAAGGCTGGAGCGCTAATATCATGGGCGAGACTATTATGCCCTGCAAAGCTCTGAAGTACATGGGAGTGTGGTTGGACAACGGTCTGCGTATGATCACCCACGTCCGCAGAATAGTGGAAAAGGCCATACGTGCACAATTAGGCACAAGGCCATATTAACACACTGTGGCGGGTAATGCCCAAGGTTGGCGGACCTAGGGCTATGAAGAGGAGGACGATGGCATCGGCCGTGACTTCTATGATATTGTATGCTGCTCCAATTTGGAGAAGAGCTATACAATATCAACACTATCAAAATATGCTGCAATCTATGATTAGGAGATTGGCCGTACTGGCGTTGGCTGGTGTCATGGCTATTGTACACCAGGTAGAGGAAAGATGCGACACCTACAGGCTGGGCAAGGAACATAGGTTGCAAGTAAGAGAAAACATCTTGATGAAATGGCAGGAGGATTGGCAGAGATATGATGGCTGGACAAAGCAATTTATTGAAAATGTGGCGGAGTGGCACAAGAATGGATGGGTGGAGGTAGATCACTTTCTTACTCAAGCTATCACAGGTCATGGGTATTTTGGCATATACCTGAAAAGGATAGCGACCGCTGTGTGTACTGCCAGGAGCAGGATACTCCTGCGCACACTCTATTCGAGTGTGGAAGATGGAGGAAGTTTAGGGCCGTGGCAGAGGCAAGGTGCGGCACCAAGGTCACGCTGGATAACGTCGGGGCACTTATGGGTGAAGACCAAGAGAAGAGCATAGCGGTTGCGGAAATTCTGAGGGTTATTATGAAAACCAAATTTCAGGAAGAGTCGGCGCAACGATTAATACATAGGATGCACACATAAGACAACCCTCTGTCTTGAAGTAATGCCCCGGGCGGTTCCGAGACGGAGACTGAGGTTTGACAAAGATGGGTTTTTAGTGGTTAGACCCTCTGGGTAGAGTAGAGAGGGAGATCCCCACACTCCGGGCCTAAAGGCGTTTCCCATCTATAAAAAAAATTGAAACCTTTACTTTACTTATTTCTGCCATTCTTTGGACATAACAAAACTCACCTTCTTAACAGCACTTAAGAGACATAAAGGACCATTACTACCGCTTTCCTGTTCAAAATATTCTAATAAAATTGTGATGATTTTTTTAAGGCTATTAAGCTATATTGTACACTTCGCACTAAAAGAGGTCCTTAAAAGAACAATGTTCGACTACGAGGTCTGTTAGTAAACATTTTTAAGCTTAAAGTACAACAACACAATTCATTTAAACCAAATATCGGTAATACAAAACTAAAGTGTTAAAACGAATGACAATTATCAGGAAATAAATAATTAAATAAAATTTTATATAATTTTTTATATTAATCTTTTTTATTTGTAGATAAATTAAAATAAAACTCACCTTATATTTTATATTTTAGTTGAAGCTGCATTAAAGCAAACCGATATCACTTTCGCACTATACACGGTGTCCTAAGCACGTACACATCACTGAAAAAAAAAGAAATTATCAGTATTAAAATATATTTTTACAATTCATATTTATTTTGCATTGTTTATCAGCAATTCTTAAATTATTCAAAATTTTAATTAAAAAATTCCCAATTCTTTACTTTAAACGATTTTTTTCTGAAAATTCTACGAAAACCACAATAGTTTTTTTTTAATAATAAATATACAGGGTGAGTCTTAAATAAGTGCCAATATTTTTAGGGGTAGTATATTTCGATCCCAGAAACACGATTATGAGCTTTATTTGGCGGAAAATAAAATTGTGAAAATTTAAAATTTTTTGAAAATTTTTTTGATAAAATCTAATCTCAATTCTTCTTAGAGCTTTATTGTAGACTGTATGAATCAAATTAAAATGTATATATTAACATTTTTCATTAAGATAAGAACTAATCTATACTAATATGTGCTAATATATAAAATCCTTAAGTGACTGACTCACTAATTAATCACGATCCTGCCCAAACCATTCAACGTAAGAAACTCAATTTTGGCATACAGGTTGATTCTACGGTGTAGAGTTTCGATAAGAATGGATTTTTCGAAATTCCAGTTCCGAGGGGGTGCAACAACCCCTCAAATATTACAATATTTTAGTATTGAAAATACTTCTGGCCGCGTTTATATGGGACCCATCTTTGAAAAAACGACATGCTCGATGCCACACGAGTTCAATAACCTGCCTAATCCACTTGTCAACACGTAAGTCGATAGTTTAGCCGGCGTTGATCATCGAAGGACGTTTGAGGGCCGAAATGAGGTCTTATTAATTTATCAGTGTGTGTGTGTGTGTCTGTGGGCTATCTATTTTATGGATATGGATGTTTGTCTGGGCCGGCGAATAAAGAAAGCCCATGTTATTATAAAAAAGAATATGCGTCAAGGCATATGAATTGTTAGGTACAGTTTGGCTATTTTAATCTAACTCTTTCCGTATGAGAAGCAAGGGGCAAATTATACGTGAAAGCGTCGAATCACATAAATAATAAATTTAGACTAATGCAATATTTTTTTCTTGGCGCGTAGGATAGGTAAATGCATTAAAGGGGAATAATTAATTAAATCATTAAGTTCCAAAACATAATAACTCGGATCTCATCGGATCTGCTGATACATTTTGCTAAAATTTAGCCTATTAGGACCTATATTTTTTATGATTATTATTTTTTTAATTAACAACTTAGGCCAAAGAAAAAGCTTGCATGGTTTCCACCGCCAACAGGCGTAAAAACACATGAATCCAAGGCGCTGCCAAATATTTATTGGGATAAGATTTTATCCTTTGAATATTGTTGTAAATAATAATTATCATTTAATTAGTGCTAGCTTATCAAAGTTCACAACATGGCGAAATTTCAACAAAATCGGCCAACGGATCTTTGGAATATTAATAAAAAAAGGTCTATTAGAAAACACCTTGATCTGTATCTTTAAAATTATACATTTCCGGACACATGTTTATATGAACTTTTTACCTTAAAACACTCAAAGAATCACCTCCTGAAGTTTGGCCAGATACTTAATTAACACCCTGTATTTAAAAATGGCTAGCTAGTGATTTAGTAAGCTATGTTTATTTTAATGGGAAAAAATACATCTCATAAAAAATAAACAAACTCATAATACAAATACTATACACTAATTAATTCATTTTAAATGTATCTAAATAGGCACTTTAATAATTGAAAAATGGTCAGGAGCACTTCATAGAATATACCAAATATGCAAAAAAAATCCAATAAAAAACCAAAAATGGCACATTAAAATCTGCATTATCTGAAATCAAACTATACCTAAACGGCTAATAAAATAATAGTGACAAGACTAAATAAAAGTGACAAGACGCCGACATCGATAACGCGATGAGCAGTTTTAAATAATTATTATATTATTCCAAGTTATTATTACATACGTGTTTTACAATTATTGTAATACAGTAGCATTCCTTCAAATAAATTTTAATTTAAGTATTGTTAATATAGTCATATTAATTATTATAGCCCGTATGATTTCTAAAATAAAAAAATCAAGCGTGTTTTATCAGAATTATTAACTGATTAAAAATAAGTAAAAATAGTTAATATTTATCAACCTCGTAAGTGTTATATTTTAATATAATTAGGGACTGTCTTAAGTTTAAATTATGGTAAACTTGTATGAGTTTCAATCATTTATATTTAAAATGTTAGGAAAGACAATATAGATTTTAGGCAAGAGGGAAGCCAATATGGGGGGGAGGACTGCGTAACTAGTAATTAAAACTTAACAATTTTTTTTACTTGATATTTTTCTGGTCGTTCACGTTGCACTTTAACTCTTCGTTGTGTCACACACAATCTAAATTTCGGATATGATGCAGAACTGATGAAATGGATTAAATATATTAATTGCAAGGTACGCAAAGAAAAATTTTTGTTAACTTTGCAAATACTTAAGGCATGCAATAATTTTAAAAAATGACGTGAGATTACTTCATAATTCTTGGAAGTCTTGAATGATAAAGATTTGAATTATTATGGGTCTGTTTTGTTTAAGAAGCTAACAAATAATTTCAAAAACTCAACTATCAAAATATATTGGTAGCAAATTTTTAAAAGTATGCATAGTTATAATGTTCTATATTAATTGGACATACTGAATGTAAACTAGGTATAGTTGTTGCAATCGATAATATATTTTGCTGCTTATTTTCAGCACAACAAAATCCGTTATGATGAAACGAAAAAAAATACCGCTACTCATATTATGGGCACCTATGTATTTTTAATTTCATATAATAATAATGGTGTTTAAAAATACATAGGTACATACTATGAGTAGTGGTTGTGACGGTTTTTTATTAGGCATGATGAAAAGAAGCTGCAAACTAAATTATCGTTGGAGCCAACTATATTTTAATTTATTTTTATCTACAGTAACTATGCACGGTAGGGGTTCAAAATATGCCTATACTGTGAGGCAATTCCATTCGAGTATAAATTAACATTTACATTCCAAGTATCTTCTTGGTCTACCGGCGCGGCACCCCATTCACCCTTATTCCCTCATTTTTTTTAAATTTTTATTGTGAAAATTGGTGAAAAGTATTTTTTTTGTACGGCGAATATAAATTTATGGGCCATCCATAAATTTAAATTTACACCTAAGTTCGAATATTGGTTAAACCTAGGAATACCCAGGTAATACCCCGAAATATGCAAAAGAAGAAGTGAGTTTAGGTTAGATTAGAATTAGGTTTTAGTTGGTTTTGCATTAATAAAAAATATAGACCTAATCTAAACTTAAGCTAAACTGACCCCCTTTTTGCATATTTTGGGCTCCTACGTGTGTATAGGAGCTCGTCATAGTGTCGTGACCGTGATCGTGACCAATCACGAATCCGCACACCTTCATATCCATCATTAATATTTTCCTCACTAAATTCTTCACTTTTACACAAAACCATCACGATAAAAATCAAATATCAAAATTATTTAACGTTGCGAACGTTAAACTTGTTCACTATACGTATCTGGAATATATTTGTGAATAGCGATCAATGATACGTTTACGTTAGACTGCCGGAGTGCTGACGTCACGAATGTCAAATTGCTTTCCAACGAACAAGGTTTAGTTCTTTTATATTTCTATTGAGCTCTCCCAAATGACGCCACAAGTTAATATAAAATGTAAAAAAACAGGTGATTGTCGACAACCGCCGACTTATGTCTGGTATTTTCAATACGCCTATGATGGTTGCGCATGTTGCAAAATCTGTGAATTTTTTATTTAAAAAACGGTCAAGTTTCCGAAAAAACGTATGTTTTATTTTGTTTTTTTTACATATTTTAAGATTTTTTAAAAATCTATACAGGGTGTTTCGAAAAATCTTGTCATTGATTAATCACGATTCTGCTTAAAGCGCTTGACGTAAAAAGCTGATTTTTGGAAAACGGATTGACTTTAGGGTGGAGAGGTTCGATAAGAAGGGATTTTTCGAAATTCGAATTCTAAGGGGGTGAAACCACCCCTCAAATATTAGAATATTTTTTATTTAAAAACCGGTGAGTTTTTCGGAAAAACTCTTAAACACGAATATTTTATTTTGTTGTTTTACATATTTTAATTTTTTTTTAAATTTATACAGGGTGTTTCATAAAATATGTCCATTGAGTAATCACGATTCTGCTTAAACTGCTTGACATTTAAAGCTGATTTTTGCCAAAAGAATTGACTGTGGGGTGTAGAGGTTCGATAAGGAGGGGTTTCTCGAATCTCAAATTCCAAGAGGGTGAAAACGCCCCTCAAATCTTACAATATTTGTTATTTAAAAAACAGTTAGTCTTTCGGGAAAACGCATGGACACGCGTAATATATTTTGTTTTTTTACATATTTTTAAATTTTTTAAAAAATCATACGGGGTGTTCCAAAATGTTGGGTAATTTCTTAACCACGATAAACCTTATTTTTAGCAAACGGATTTATCGATAGTCAAATTCCAACGAGATGAAACTACCCCTCAAATATCACCAAGTTATATAATAATATCGCCATATGGTTTTTTCTCATGCTGACATAAATGTTAGAAAATTTTATCCAGTTTGTATGTTAATGGAAATTCTTGCTTTTTTTTATCATCACCATTACTAATGATTAATTCGACGCGAACAAAGTCGCGGGTTCACGCTAGTAACTACATAATAAACTTATACAATATATCCACAACGAAATTATTGAAATATATAATAGTAATGTTTAATTCTAATTCCTGGGCTTCTTCAATTTCGTTTTAAAAATTAAAATTCCAAATTCTCTGTCACGTATGCTCATCTACGGCCAATTAAATGCGACCTAGACATTCTTAGAATTTTTACATCTTGCAATAATAATAAAAAATAATGGGTTAAATTAATTATTATACCCACATAACTCTAGTAAATAAACCTTACATCATTTTGTTTCTCACGAAAAACTTTAGGTACCTCCATAGGTACTTTAT